TCGCCTGTACGAGGACGTGAATCTCCGTATGGTATATCAGGATCTGACCTGAATCCACTCCCGAAATTGCCAGCACAGATGGCCACGAGGCTCATGGCAAAGGGAGGGTGGAAATTGGCGAGATCGGAGCCGACTCCCACTCGAACGAAACAGCCTGTGTGGGATGCGGGGGTCACACACCAGGGAAACAGGTGCCATCCCACGTCTCCTTGCCAACAACGAAACGCAATGACAACTCCAAACCCCCCAACTCCCATCTTTCAGAACCTCAACACCTCAACACACACCAATGCACCGTCGATGCCAACCTCGAAATCACTTGCCCCATCAGGCCCCCTGTCAACCCATTATTTAAGGCCCAGCACCAGCGGTCAGTTGACCGCACGCGCACGCACCACCAGGCGAGTGCAACGCGGCCCGCGACTGGCACATCATGCTGGAGTTCATCATGGAAACACGAGAGGGGGGGAGGGGGGCAATGGGGGCGGTGAGCGAGCAATCACCGAGCCACCCGCCCCGCCGCCGAGGTCACCGTTCACTCACCTCTATTATCATCTTCTGATATGCCTTCATACCACACTAGACACATGGTCAACGCGGTCCGCTCGAGACAAGATTATTGTAAAAATTAACGTTGGCGCCTACCCTGGCCTGCCTAGCTTCACCAGGCCAATTTCTGCGTCGACGCGTAGGGTTTCCGGCAACAGCCCCGGACACGGGGATCTTCTTTGCGGCACGAAATATTGTGATGACAGATCAAAGATCTATCAGATGATACTTGACCTCCCCCATGAGATGAGGTTCGTCCACACCGACAACGAATTCTCTGTCATGAAAACGGAACCGCACTCGCGTTCAGGCCAATCCCTGGCATGCCGTTTCTTCGCATTTGCCCACGGCATCAGCCAGCGGTCTACGCGAAACTCAACAGCCATGCTACATGTAATAACATCCCCAACGCTCAGACTTCCCCATCTTGGAAGGACGACTCCCGTCTCGGGCAAATCTCGCCAACCCGCACGCCCAATGTCGTCTAGATCCTGGCCTAGCATTCCAGCGAGCAGAACTGTCTTTTCGACAGAGGTGGTTTGACCCCGGACCCGACAATGTCAGTTGTCTCATTTTCTTCGGTTGTCTCGAAACGATGAGATCTAACGTAGCTGCTGCTCTGGTCTGTTTCTCATCTTGGCTGATCAGGCTGTTCCCTGCGCTGAACCGCCGACATCTCCATGGCAGCAGCTCAGTATCCCATTGTCTGGACCACAGCCTTCAGCTGATTTAGTATTCTTTCTTTGGCGGGCGGCTCTCGACCCCCCTAACATCAGTCTCGCCGTCCATGGACCAGCTGGTTCTAGGCTGGCGTTGCCGCGGTCCTGAGCCTGGGCCTTAGCTGGTGACGGCCGCATGCAGTCTAGGCGGGTGCATGCACGTCGCCCCCATGCCATGTCATGTCGGTCAAGCGAACGCGGGATGCCACGCTTTCAAGCGCCCTGGCACGCAGCAAGTGCTCACCGTTGCAGGCCCTTGACCGCTCTCGACATGGTACGTCTTCCACGCGTGCTCCAACGGCCAGCACCGTTTACATGTATTCTCGCCTCACTTTGGGACCACGCTTCATGGCGAGGTACGTACTGCAGAACTTTCTCCCGAGGAGACCCCTTTCACTCGCCCATTTGCGTCTCCCATTACCTGTTCAGTGTGACGAATGGTCTCGCTCTCCGAACCCCGTCGGGAAATCCAAACACCATGGATGCTCGTTTTCATGGTCCCCAGACTCTTGAGGTCGCTGCAATTTCAAGAGGCTCAATCCCCCCCGTCCCCCATGGCCTTCCCCACAAGCCTTTGCAATGTCAGTACGTGGAGACCTCATTAAAGGCCTGAACCCCTCGAGCCCGAGCCCCGGTCGCGGTACATGTTCCCCGGTGACCCACATCTAGGCATCTTTTCCTTGCCTACTCTTCTCCTAGACTTTGCGATGTTGGGTGTGCAGCTCGTAGCTCGTGCAGTGCCTTTGCGTGGGGGCGGGAACCGCATTCGCGGGACGGGAGGATGACAGGGGTTATGGGTGTGTGTGGTCTCGTCGTGAAGGATGTGTTTTGTCATTCGGATCTGTGCCCCCCTCCCTTTCCCTTTCCTTCCCTATCCCGGCCGGACAGACTGAGACTAGTTCAAGTCGTGCGATGCTTTTCTGTGCCTCGATTCCTTCTTTTTCTGCTTCTGCTCATATTCTTTTTCAAACGTCACATCTCCCAAGGTTTGGTTTTCATGTGCGAAAGCAACATGCCTGAAAAGTACTGCTTCTGTTTTACGACACGGCAGGATTCGCCCATGCTCTGACATGTGTGCTATTCATTGGCTCAGATTATCGCTTTTTTCATTGTATCTATCCCAGACAGGCCCTCGAGACTTTCGCCTCACAGCCGGAATCGTTCTGCGCAGCACGAGACAAAGGCCTCTGTCTATCGCCATGCCCACCCAGCGCCCTTTCTCCCCGCCTTCCCACTCCCTATTGTCCCGAAAGAGGTTCAAAACTCGTGAATCCGGAACGCCCTGGGTATTGCCCCAACCTCAAAACGGGTCACCAACTGACTACGTACTGTACACGAAAACAGAATAAAAAAAATGCAAACCCTTCTCATGATCACTCACTCATCATTATGAAGGCGAAGTCGAGACAAGTCTCGCTAGTTATCAGTCTCTGGCTCCACGAGCTCAATGATGGAGGCAATGTACTCGGCCTGCGCAGAGACGTGTTAGTACGAGATAGATAGCATGCGGCAAAGGGGAAGGGGGAATCATACCAGGCCCTTGTTCAGCCCCATGAGCTCAAACAGCCGCGGGCGCACGCAGCGGAAGAGCCGCTCGTTCCAACCGCCCTCGTAGTGCCGCAGCAGCTCAGCCTCGGACTGCGTCTTAGGAACGTTCCGGGCAATGTTCCTCAGGATGAGAGCCGCACTCAACGGGATGCCGGCGGCTTGGAGCGGCGCGTTGGGGTTGCGCTCATCGCGCACCATGGCAGTCTCCTCGTAGTCGACCGACTTGGTCACGGCGGGCTTGAGCCAGTCGCGTGTCGGCGCCTGGGCGGCGTCACCGTCAGCTGCCGTCTTGCGCGGGAAGGCGATGCTTGCGTGGACGGAGATGTGGTGCGCGATCTGGAAGAGCTTCATGGTGGTGGGCTCGGGGAACTTTTTGCATTCGCCCCACTGGCAGCGGCACTCCAGCTCGACATTGTCAAAGGAGCCGGCGGCGTTCTTGGCGATACCGAGGTGGTGGGTCAGAATATGGACGCCCATCTGCTGAGGGCTGGCAAAGTGCTGTCCGCACTTGACGCCCTGCTTGGCGGCGTCCCAGATGCAGCGCTTGAAACTCCTTGCCGTCGAGGCCGACGGGGTTCTCGCGGGCGCGCAGGCCCTGGATGATGAACTTTTGCTGCGTCTCGCCGGCGTTGGACACGCGGAGCACCTCGGCGCGCGACTCCTTGTAGACAATGGTGGCATTGCGGATGAAATCTGCGGGCGTGATGAGCGTCTGTCCGGACGTCTTAAGAGCCGATACAAATGCTGCTTGGTAGGCCTGCCAGGCCATGATCTGCGTGACGAACGAGTCCTTATCCTCCTCGAAGAAGCACTTGACCCACGCCTGGCAGCGTTCGGGCTCGCCAATGGCCAAGAGCTCCTGCAGAAGGTCTGTCGGCATGGGTGCGGCGTAGTCGTTGGGCGGCGTCTTGAGTTCGGGCACAATGACAACTTCGCGCGTAACCTTCTTGGCGCCATGCGAGAGAAGGCGGACGAGGTGGATGACCAGGCTTTCGGCACTGACGAACCGTAGCAGGTCATCAATGTTGGCGGCAACGGCCGTGTACTGGTACAGGAAGTCCAGGCACGCGTCCATCAAGTCGTCGTCGTTGAGCTGCAGCCAGCGCGTAATGTTCTCTAGCGTCTCGGCGGGCACATTGCTGAGCTTGTTGGTGTTGGCCAGCTTCATCGAGATGCGGCCGAGGGCGCGAAGTCCGCCGAGAATCATACCGCGGTCTGTTGACTTGAGCTGCTCTAGGAGCACCTGGTAGAGGGGATCATCCGATCCGAGAGACATGTAAGGCGTGAGACACTCTGTGATCTCGAGCGCCATGTGCTTCAGCTCAACGATGCTGTTATGTGTGGGAAGCCTCAAGATGATGCAGATCAGGTCTTTCAGCGGCTGCAGGTCGGACACGAAGTGAGCATTGTCCTGGAGCGTGACCATGTTGCGAATCGTGAGGACGGCCTCAGAGATGCACCGAAGGGCGTCTGAAAAGTCGGCAGGCTGGATGAGATCTGAGACGGGTTTGGGGGTGAGTTTGCTGATGCGGTCGAGGATATCGGGCGTCCCGTTCTCGCCATCGAGGACGCCGGGCCCAGCGTTGTTGGGGACCGGAACCCACGAGATCTCCCACTTGATATCATAGAAAAGGTTGCCGACATCAAGCGCCTTTTCGACGAGCGCATCTGCCAGGCCTGCGAACTGCTCAAACTTGAACTTATCACCTCTTTCATATGAGATCTTAACAAAGTGATGCACGGCATATTCCTGCTCAGCCAAGATCTTCGATCGCAGACCCATGAGGCATCGGTGGTAAATACCAGCACCGTCCTTGCGCACTATCCACAGTCAGCATCGATCCGGAGCAATCATCACAACGGGAAGAAAGCACGTACGTCCTGGTGTCCCATGGGGCAGCTCGGGGGGTTGCAGCCTCTGCCGCGCCAGCTGTCGGCGCCTAGCGAACTCTGCAGGATTGTTGCCTGGCGTGTCGACGGGTCTGAGAACCAGAGGCGGGAGAGCTTGGAGCGACTTGGGCTGGTACGTATCAACAGCAGAGGCCACATTCTCCGAGTTCGAGGGGTTAAAGGCCCCACTCGGCCCGCGAGGGATGCGCTGCTGGCCTGACATGGGCACAGAAGTGGGATGCGCCGATGGGAAGTGCCCTGGTGTATTGGATTGACCCGAGCTCTGGGAGTTGGAGTGATGCTGGGACGTCGGTTGACTGGTCTGTCCAGTCTGTGCTCCCGAGGCGTTGCGGGTGCGAGTCGGGCCCGTGTCGGGCTGGAAGATGACTCTCTGCGGAGGGGCCTCTCTCAATCCGCGCGAGGCGCGTAGGCTGGAGCCGACAGGCGTGGTCTCTGGGCCAGAAGGGCGATCGCGCGACGGTGTGCCGTCGTCTCCCGAAGCAGCCGAGTCACCAGCGAAGTCCTGCTTGCGATAGTTTTCTCGCGTTCGGGTCAGAAGCGATCCACCTTTGGCCGTGCCGTCCTCGAGGATGTCTTTTGGCGGGGGCTCTTTTCCGTGGATGGTGCTAATCTCGTATGCGGCCAGGTTCTTCAGGTAGCGGTCTTTGAGTTGATAGGCGGTGGATGCGATGCTGGTCATAGGGATGCCGAGCTTCTCGACCATCTCGCGCCAGGCAAGTTTCCTGTCGCTGACTTCGTCGTAGCCGCCTTCCTCCACAATCAGGTTGAAGAGCTTGTAGAGATCGAGATTTACTGTTGAGCACTTGGGTTCTGGGTCAAGCGTGGTACCTCGTTGCTGATGATAGGCGCGCAGTTTGGTCATAAACTCCTCGTACTCGGGAGTGCGGTCAATCTCGTGAGGGGGATATTTCGTTTCGGGCGCCATGTCGCTACGTCAACAGGCTCGTTCGAGGACACAGACGAACGAATCTATTGAAAGGGGGGAAATCAGCAGATGACTTCCCAAAAGCGACAGGAGCAATAAACCAGGTGCGGTGGGGGGGAGGGGGGGGACTTACGTTTTGTCGCGGGCAGGCAAGCACCGGACGATGAGAGAACAGAAAGGGAGCGAGGTGTGCGCAATTGACAAACACCAGTGACCCAATTATGACTGTCCGTTTGCTGGTTTGCTGATGGTGTGCTGCAAAGGATTGCAGAACCGTGATGCTAGTGCTCTGCTTGATGGTGGCTGCAGATGGCAGTTGCAATGCGACGGAGCACTGGTTGGTTAGTCGCGGTCGCCGCGCCTTGTCGAAAATTGGTCGCGTTCCATGTCAACCAGCAGACGAAGCCGAAGACCGTGCCTCGAGGTACCTGGGTACGTGGTACGTGCTGAGGCGTCTGTGCAACAGCCGAAGTTTAGCCGTCTCAACTACCAGCTTGGACTCCAGGCAACCAGGCTCGATTGTGCCTGCCATCGCAGAGATCCGCCTGTCTTGTTCCCACATGGGCACCTATACAGTGAGCTGAAACACTCTGTACCATCTAGATATACGGGCCTCGTCTGTTTGGAGCAGGCCTAATCAGATGATTCCATCATAACAATCGCGGTGGAGATGGTTGTCTTGATGTCGAGATAGGATCCATATCTCCCGAGTTGGAAGGTCTATGCCCAGAACGACGGCAAAGAGTGCATTCATGTAGACGAGTTCACCCTAAGGTACCTACCTAGGTAGGATATCTGCCTGGGGAAGGAATCACCGACACCCTATATTCCTGCCCCCAATGCCTGGACCGTCTTCATCGTCAACGACCAAGCCATCCAGAGCAATGTCATCCAGTCTATACTCTCACCGCCAAATCGGAATCCTGTGAGGATTTTCTCACCATACATCGATACAATATGTTTCCTCAATCCGCTGGTGGCGATTCCCAGCTGCATGTGTTTCCCCTCAGCCGTGCTTCTGTCGGCACGGTTCAGTCAATGTCGCAAGAGCAACATCGCAGCACACACACCTTCAATGTTTCCTTGATACTGAGACACGAGAAGCAACTCGTGGGCTCGGCTGTTCCGTCGCATAGTCTCCGGGATATGGCCCCAAACGTTATCTTACTCATACAGTCAGGTACCCGTCAACTGGTAATCCAACCTGGCCTGCCTCGCTTCGCGGCGTGTACTAACGGTCAAAGGAACGACTTTATCTAGGAGAGCTTGTCCAAACGAGTGGCCATCCTATACCATACGAACTTCGTCAGCGGGAGCTGGAGAAGACATTTCGCCTTCGATATGAGCCATCTCAAGTACGTAGGCAACGTCGTAATCTGAATGCTGATAGCTAAGACAAAAGATAGGGACAGATTCACGAAATCAGAGCCGAGTTTGCTGTAAGAAGCGATTATGCGCAAGCGATGCACATTTTCCAGTGCCTCGGACTAAGAGCTTCCGTGACGAGGGACGCCTCGTCGCCTATTCATGTCCTAGGTGAACGTGCTTCGCCTAGACCCTCGCCCCTGACACGAGTCTTCTCGCCAGCGCCAACACGGTTTGGAGACAAGCGCACCGCGATTGAAGATATGCGTGCCAATCACTCGTTGTCACCTGTTTACAGACCCCAGATTGTCAATTCGTCACTTCACCGCCACGACACACACCCTCTAAGTGATCTTTCTACCAGACCACATTATGCAGGCTCTTTCCAGGCACCAGACACTGTCTCCAATCTCATAACAGGCCATCAAATGCCATATGATTTGAAGACAAGTCCACACTTTGACCAGGTCGACAACTGTGAAACCTCCAGATTCCTTCCGACACCGAGTTCGCAGCTCGATTCTCAAACCTCGACGAGCTTGAGAGGTCCGAGTCCTTCTTGGTCCTGTGAAAGGACATCCACATTCGAAAAAGAACCGCGCGATCACCCGAACAAAGAAAACAATCTTTCATTGCAGAGCGTTCCGTCTGCAACGTCGGCAGCATGGAAAACGCATCAGCCAAGCTCAGCCAGTGACTTTGGATCAATGCTACCTCCCCCTCGTGAACTTCCATTTAAGCGTACTGCGACCACACCGACAGACAGACCATTAGGGATTGAGGGTGCTGATAAAAAGAAAAAGACCATGACAACTCCCGCTCTCATGCCAACGCTGACAACGAAACCTCCAGACTCTGACACGAGCCAGCTACAGCAGTGTTCCATGAGAGACTTCTTCAACGACGAAGTGGACATCTCCAACCTCGAGAGAACGAACACAAAGGACACACCCTCAACCTCCAGACCGAGGCGAGCCGCAGCGGGCCTCAAGAAGTCAGCTAAACAGGCGACACCGCTCAGACGGAGTGACAATCGAACAAGCCCTTCAATTCAAACAAGCCGTACAGCAAGCTTGAGAAACGCACCTCGGAAGGATTCCAACGAGGAACCTAAAAGCAAAGTTAGTCTCCCAAAGAACTCGAGGACGAGACGAAGTATGGTTTCAAGCAGGTCATCTCCGTCTCGGAGCGGGGATGGGTCACCTGGCGCAACAACCACATTTGCTGTGAGCAAGAGAAAGGCTCCGTCCGCACAACCGAGACCCAGCAAGCAACAAAAGCTCGTGTCAACGGAAAAACCTTTGCTGGATACATTTCGGAAGACTGGTTCAGAACCTAGGGTGATTGTGGTGCGTTACCACGATACCAGCACGCAGGCGAGCCTGGTGCCAGAAAATCGTAATCACGCGCCCACCACTAGTTCCCAATCTACTTCAAATGCCAACGGTCAACACAGACATGTGGACAAAGATTCAGATACCAGAGAGGTATCTTTATATGTTGATAAGGCCCAGGCTTGCCCCATCAGCGAGCCGATGTTGGAATCCAGTACTCAGACTCACGTCGTTGTCCAAGACGCAGGTAGCTGCTGCAATATCCGCCGTGTGCATGACCAGGACCAGCAGACCATATTGTCAGGTAAACAACTCGATGCCCGTCTTGAAACGCAATCTTCAGTTCAAAAAGGCATCCAGACAGCAGAATACAGATTGGAAGACATTTGTATCGCTTGTAGGGCCTGCCCACGAATGGTCCAAGCTGGGGTGCAAACATTAGTGCCCTGTTCGGAGGAGATAGGAGAAAATGACATGAGGGAACCCCGAGCATCGAACACCCGCGCAAAGACGAAACCTTTGTACACAAATGCGCAGGCACAAACACTGCATGAAGCCGCAAGCCAGGATGGCGGTGTCCTTGCTGCAGGGTTGCTACTGATTGACCAGGCCCGACACGTCATGCACGACCATGTCGACGATGACCTTGACCGGCTTGAGAGAGGGGAGAAAATTGACGCAGAGAAATCGATAACGCAGATGCTGCGGAATGTGGAGAGTCTGGCACAGGAAGCTATTGATAGCCATGGTTCGCTACTGCTTCGTTTGCCCTTTGACCAGATGACGATTGACTACATCAAGACACGCACAGTCGATTTGCCGGGGCTGGCATACTGAATCAAGTGTCTTAGGGCTCATTGAGGAACCATGTGGCAAGAAAAAAGGTTGAAGACTGAGAGATACCATTGATAAACTGCTCATTTTAATCGATGCCCCAACAGCTCGGCGACTCTGAAGTAGGCCGTTCCAAGCAAAACTCCATTGCTCCTCACGCTTTCATGAACCTGACCATTGAGTATCCAGCTGACACCAAGGTACAACCTTATCCGTAGGCCAATTCGCTTTCCAGGTACAAATCTTGGTAGGCAAATTCCGCTTATCAGGTTCTCCTGCATGAAAATACCAAACAACTCACTTCCTGCCTCTGCGCTTATGCATTGGATACTTCGATCCGGCTAGGAAACCAATCTTCAGCAGATCCTCGACATTGCGGATGGCTTGCACACTGGCCATGATAGCGGCTTGTGGCAACTTGGGAGCCAGCTTGGAAATGTCAAGCTCTTCACGGACGGGCTCGAAGACCTCGCCTTTTGTTGGAGGCAAATCGGCGCTGGTATAGTCCCCGGGACTATCGGGCTGATCTCTAAGCCAAGCCGAGATGGCCGAGCTGGCGGCCCGGCGGCTGGTAGTTGTAGTCTTCTGCTCGGGCTGGGCGCTGGCAGAGTCGGATCCGCATTTGGAAACGAGGAGACGTAATCGTTTGCGAGGCCGGCTGACATTTGTGTCAACGACCTCGGTGGGCTGGGCGGACGAGAATGAAGGCAAAGTACAGGTCGAGAGGGCGACGGCCTTGCGCTTGTCGGAGGCAATCCTGGCGACGACGGCGGGGGGAGTGCTGAGACCGAGAATATCCGTGCCGCTTGCATGCGAAGCGCACCGCGACGGGTCGACATCGACCTTTGTGCTCGGGGGTTCATGGTCCGAAGGTTCGACCGAGCCCATGACATATCCGCGGAAATGCTTGAGCTTCGCAGTGTCGGCGGAACTCTGAGAGGGTATATAGGGGAGGGGCGGCCTGATGGACGCGGATTCGTCGCTGGCGATGCTTGCAGTTGACGAGCCCGAATCGCTGGACGGCTCATGATCGTCGTGCTTTTCCATGCTGAACGATGCAATGAGGGATGGCTGCTATATGTCGTACACCGAGGAAAAGACGTATTCAATGGAACTCAACTTAAGTTGAGGAGTCAAAGAAATTCAAAGCCAGAAAGGATGAAAATCAGAGAAGACTGGGAGTTGTACGTATGAAGACGAGAGAGACGACCAGACGTGGGGAACGGGACGCTCTGTTCGGGTTTTGTTGACGAGGGCAGTGCCTTCGCAGATGGCTCTCGACCAAGGAGCTGCATAGGAAAACCCTAAGAGTCGGTCACGCCTTCCGCTGCACTGAGGTGACTGTTTCCTCTGAAACGGGGCTGCTCTTGACGGCCACCAAGGTGTCAGAGCTAGTATGGCTGGCAGCGGTTTTCCGAATGGGTACGGTGCAGTGGATCACAGGAGGAGGAAGGTTCAGTCAACGAGAGCAATGTCCAGATGCAGACACACTTTGCAAGGTATCAAGCATAACTCAAACCCGACTATTCGGCCCCATGATGAACACCGCATCTCAGCCATCCAGGACAACAAGGTCGGCAACAAGCCCACGCCAGACTCCACTCCTCAGCCTCTCAAACACCTACATCTCCCGCCGAAAAATGAAACACGCCGACGAAATGAACCATCTCAAGCCTTGCTTTCTCTCGCAGCACCGTCCGCCTGTGCCTTGTCTTCGGGCGAGAAGGTCAGGCTGACGCTGTTGACGCAGTGTCGCTCGTCAGTCGGCGTAGGGAACCCTTCCCCCTTGAAGACGTGGCCGAGGTGGCCCCCGCAGTTGGAGCAGACAATCTCAGTGCGCGCCATGCCGAATGCGCGGTCCTCGTGGCGGGTGACGGCGCCGGGGAGGCTGTCAAAGTAGGCAGGCCAGCCACAGCCCGACTTGAACTTGTGGTTGGCCTTGTAGAGGGGTGCAGAGCAGCCGGCGCATGCGTAGACGCCCTCGGAGGGGTAGTGCTTGTCAAACTCGCCGGAGCCGGGGGCCTCGGTGCCCTTCTCGCGGAGGATGCGGAATTGCTCTGGGTTGTGTCAGCATGGAGATGGCATATTCGTCGACTGACTGACTAAGGTACCGTAAGGGAGGATGAGAGAGAGATTACTTACCCTTGTTGAGGACGGCGCGCCACTCGTCGCTGGTCCGCTGATCGGGGTAAGACATCTTTTCGGACGGGGACGAGGAGCTGAAGAACGAGCTGATGAAAGGGATGGGCATGGAAGCGCGGAGAGGTGTGTTGCGAACGCGGAGTGTGGATGTGAGGCGTGACGAGGCCCGAACGCGGGTGAAGCTGGAAACTGTGAAGATGAGGGTCGAGAAGAGGGGAGAGAATCGCATGAGGGGTGGTCTGGAGCGTTTGTTTTATAGAAAGCCTTTTCAGCTGCAATATTTATCTTGAGGCAGGGCAGATTGTATGTTCATGAAGTGAAAGGAAAGAAAAAGACCATAGACAAGTTGTCGATCGCTCACCAATTGACAGTATTGACGTCTGTTTCGAGGGGCGAGTGTGACAAATCATAGCGGGTCTGACGGGGAAGCTGCAACTCGTCATCGACAAAGTGATGGAGTCGCAGTGCCAGCCGAGGCGCCAGCCACATGCGCTGCCACACGCAGCGGCCGTGAGACGTCTGCCTTGCAGGCCATGGTTGTGATCATTTTTGCCTGTTCTGGACGTCGTCGAACTGCGCAAACTGAACAATGACAAATTATCAGATATGCTTCCTTCAATGAGCTTCATATCCATGCCCTGCTCTTAACAGCCTCGTACATGACCCCTCGAGGCCATCACATACACACAGCTCATACCAGCCGCGAGCACCTGGGCGCCACCCCACAGTCCTCCAGGCCCCCTCCAGCACTAGAATATAGGTACTCCTCGGCCAATTTCGCCACCTCAGGCAGAAACGCCTAGCACTTAGCCAGACCAGACGTCGTGGGGCAGCATCATTCTTAATTCTGGCCCCTTGTCCCTTGTTCCCCCCCCCCCCCCCCCTATCCCGCAACGTCCTGGTCGGTATCGGATCAGTGCCCAGCCAGAGGAAGATCCATTTTCAGGCACATCACACAATCCACCTCGCGGCCACATCTCCTCCCGCTCTTTCCTTTCCACCCCCCTCCTTCACGACAGGGTCACCTCCTTCATTGTCCTCCATTTGGGCCAGACCGAGCACGAGCGCGAACAGCAAGCGATCCTCTCTACCCCGCTGATAACATCTCAACACCGCCCGCCATGTCTCGACGACCTCCCAACCCGGCTGCTGAGCGCGCCGCGAAGAATACGCAGACGATTAAGAGTCTGCTGAAATTGGAATGCAACAAGATATGCGCTGATTGCAAGAGGAACAAGCGTGAGTACCGCGTTGCTTCATGCGACCGACGAATGACTGACTGGTTGCTCTCGCAGACCCTCGATGGGCCAGTTGGAACCTTGGCGTCTTCGTTTGCATTCGATGCTCCGGCATCCACAGAGGCATGGGCACCCACATCAGCCGTGTCAAGTCCGTTGACCTCGATTCCTGGACCGATGAGCAACTGCAGAGCATTCTGAGCTGGGGCAACGCGCGCGCGCAGAAATACTGGGAGGCCAAGCTTGCCCCAGGCCACGTACCCTCCGAAGCCAAGATCGAAAACTTTATCCGTACCAAATACGAACTTAAGCGATGGGTCATGGACGGTGGCATACCCGATCCCGCGACTCTCGATGTTGACGGTGACGACGACGTTCCCCTGAGCATTGTCAAGGAGAAGCAGGTCGTTGAGAGGAGGGAGTCGGTTCGCAAGGCGTCTGTCGGGAAGTCGGCAGCTCCGAGGAGCATCCCTGCCCCGCAGGCCGACTTGATCGGCGGTGACGATCTGCCACAGAGGGCCAGCTCTGCCGGACCTGGCACCGGCAACGTACCACCCAAGGCGCAGCCGGCCCCCCCTAAGACGACGAGTACTAAGGATTCGCTGCTTGGTTTGGACTTCTTCGGCGAACCTGCAGCACCTCCCCGCCCGGCCAGCACTACCGGTACTGGTGGCGCCGCGGCTGCCAACTCGCGCCCGGACCTGAAGCAATCGATTCTCTCTCTCTACGCCACAGCACCGCGCCCACCAGCTCAGCAGCAGCAGCAGCAGCAGGGCGGACATGCCCAGCAGGGATCTTTCGGCGGCATGGCCTCGCCGACGTTCCAGCAACAAGGATTCGGGCAGCAGCAGCAGCAACAGCAACAGTCTTCGCTGGGAGGCATCAACGACGCCTTTGGTAACCTCGGCTTCTCCAACACCACCAGCTCTAAGCCCGCCGCGGCAGACCCCTTCGCCAGTTTTGGCGCTCCCCAGGCCAGCAAACCCGCAAACCAGGCTTCCTCGAACGCTTTCGGTGGGCTGGGTGGTGGCAGCTTCTTCGATTCCAAGCCCTCCGTGCCGGCAGCCTCCTCCCACCAGCAGCAGTCTTCTAACAGCGGCTTCGGCGGCTTCGGGTGGTCGAGCTCGCCCGCACCGCCTGCCGCCAACCCTGCTCAATCCAAGCCCGCTCAATCCACCTCTTCCATGGGCGACCTTTTCGACTTATCCTCCCCCGTGTCGAGCTCGACCCCGCCACCCAAGGCGACTTCTCCTCCTGTCAACAGCACTTCTGTTTTCAACCTCTCCGCCCAGCCCAAGCCCTCTCAGCCGTCGCCGGCGCCAGCAGCCGTCTCGCCAGCCATTGCTTCGTCCTCCAACTTCTCCGGCTCCGACGTCTGGGGGCTCTAGCGCCTGGGGGCGCCCCTGAGCCCGCTGCGCCTGCCAAAGGCGCCCGAGGCGTCCAAGGGCGTCGACCCGGCGACTTTGGCGGCTGGGGGAGCGCCCAGCAGCGGGCTCAGGCAGCCTCGGAAGGGTTCTCGGCCAACACGCCCATTGTTCCCGGGTGGCGTCAGGGGGGCTTC